TGGTTCCGATCCTGAGCCCAGAGATGCTGCAAGGGCCTGGCGCGGCCCCCCGCCCACCAGCGCTGCGCTGGGGCAAGCAAGGAAATGCCACTCGTGACCCGTGCTGGGCCGCGGCTCCCGCTTGCAGCACGCGTTCAATTAGCCATCGATTTTTCAGCTCCGGCTCAATCATAATGGACCACACTGCGACTCTGCTCCTGCCTCCGCGCCAACCGCTGGCTTCCCTGCCTGCCCGCCTCGAGCAGCGTGGGCCATGGGGGTGTCCCGGCCTGGCCGCAACCGCTGCATCGGGTCACCCAGGGGCTGCTGTGCTGCAGGGCCTAGCTGGGGACTGCGGGCGTTTGGAGCGGGCACCGCACTCGAGGCACCTGTGGACGGTGCCCGGCCACGTCCTCCGCGCGGGAAGGGCCTGGGAGGGATGGGGAGGAGGGAAAAAAAGGGAGAAAACGTTAAAAATGGAGTCGTCAGCCCCGCGCTGACAGGCGCAATCAGCAAAGTGCGGCGTCGGCAGGAACCGGCCCCACGCGCTAAATGACTTGAAAGGAAATGGCCTGGATTGTGCTGAGGAGGCAGAGTGCGGCGGGGAGAGCAGGCGAGCAAACACAGAAACTTCATTAATTAAAGGAACTCGTTAATGAGGGACATTTAATCAGCTGAAGGCGATACCCACGCGCCAGGCGGGAGGCACCTGCCCCCGCAGCCATGGGGGTGCAGGCGGGAGGGTAACAGGTGGGGGCAGCCCCGGTGCTGCTCCGGGCACCTGCTCGGGCATGGGGGCGTGGGGCGGGGGGTGGCGAGGCCGTGCCAGCAGTGAAGCGCGGGCAGACCTTGCTGCCCCGGCTGCAATGTGCAAAGGCAGCGAGGGCTGGGTGTGCGGGGCGTTGCTGCAAGGGCTGGTGTCGGGGGGCTTCGTGTTGTGGGTCTGTCTGCATGGGGGTGCCCGCAGCCCGGCCAACCCTCACGGGAGCCCGCGTGCTGTGGCGCATGCCCCTGACCCCTCTGGGGCACCCCGGAGCCGGCTGCAACCAGGCCTCTGCTCCATTTCGGATGCCGGCTCCCCGTCCCCACGTGCCGTCGCGGGCGACGTGCTTCATCTCCTGTCTCATTTGCTAAGCGCGGGCCATGGGCCATTAATAATCAGAATATCTTTTAATGAAAATGCGGAAAAGCGCCGTCCACGCTGCCAGCTGGGAGTGCAGGGGAGGGGCGCGCCGTGCAAGCAGTGGCAGGGCTCGGGCCCCGGGGCCCAGGGAGCCCCAGGGCCCGGGGTGGGCAGGGCTCGGGCCCTGCGGCTGGGTGGGCGTTGGAGCCCCTGCAAAGCTGGCTCCCAGTCTGCTGCGGTGCTGGTGTCTGCGGTGCCGGCGTCTGCTGCATTTCTTGCTCCCCAGTTGCTTGCCACGTGCTCTGGGCCCAGGCTCCCTGCATTGCAGCACCCCCGGCTTCTCCTCCTGTAGTCCCTGCACCCCCACCTTGAAGGCGACGGGCGCTGCGCCCTCCCCGGCAGCGGCTGTGCATTGCATTGGTGAGCCCCTCTTCTCCAGGGCTGCATGGGGGTGTGCGTGCCGCAGGGCCCGGGGCTGGACAGGGCCAAAGGGTGACGTTTGCCTGGCTGGAGAGGCTCCCGCTTGACCAGTCCAGCCACACACACGAGGGGCAGTGGGGGCAACCCGCCGTGGTGCACGCTCGTGTGCAAGCTGTATGCAGGCCACCAGCAACCCCGCGAGCCCCTGGAAGTGCACCCGGCTGCGGGCGGCCTGCCTGGCCCTGGTGGTGTCCGAGCAGAGAGGGGCATGCAGGTCACGCAGGCCGGGGGTCTGCCTGGGGGGTGGGCACGTGGCAGGGAGGCCGGGGACAGGACCCAGCCGCAGGAGGAGGGTGGAAACGCCGGGGTTCCCGTGCGCGGGGGCGGAGGCGGCTCCGGGGGGAGCCTGCGGAGAGCAGCCAGCGTGGGAGGAAGCCGTGAGCGCAGCCAGATCCCCGGTGACGTCAACGGGCATCACTCAGACGAGCCCCTTCTCCGCCCCCTCCATCCTGCGGCCGCCCCAGGCCCCGGGGCCAGCGGCCCCTCGCCTGCTCCAGGTGAGCGGGTCCCATCCTGCTCCCTGTCAGCGCCTGGGGATTGATGGGCAGCGCCTGGCAGGCAGAAGCCATAGATCTGTGCCGCTGCGGCACCGGCCGCGGCAGCGCGGGAGACGGCAGGCAGCAAAGCAGGGGAACCTAATGGTCCCTGAATGAAATAATACCTGAGCTGACAGGGCTGCGACAGCCCTCGTTAATAACTGGCACCGGTGCGGCTGTCAGGGCCGGGCGCCAGCGGCACCGAGGACGTGCCCAGGTGCGTGGCCGGCTCTGCGTGCACCCCCGACTCGCCCTGCCCTGGCCCAGCTGAACGAGGGCAGAAGGGGCATCCTCCCCGGGGCCCAGAGCACCCCACGCTTCGTGGGGCAGCGCCAAGGCACGAGGCCAGTGGGGTTATCTGGCCTCCGGGCGCAGGACGAAGGGCTCCATCGTGGCAGGTCCAGGGCCTGGAGGCGGTGGCTCCGCGCTCCCTGGCAAGCGCTCCTGGCTGATGCATCCCGGCAAGGCTGGAGCAGCTGAGTCAGCACAGGAAAAAGCCAGGAGCCTTCCAGTGACTTGCAGATCTTAATTTGTGCTGGATTTGCATGTCGTTCCCCACAGGGCTCTGGGCTACGGGGCTCGTTTCCTCCTGGGCGGACCCCGCGGCCAGTCCATAAGAGCCCCCGGTTTGGGTGGCGCCTGCCCGCAGCCGGCCCCTCTCCCCAGCATCCTCGTGCATTGTCATTCGGCCACGTGCCATCAAGGAGCTTGTGTCCGCGGCCAGAGCCAGGGGTGTGTTTTGTTGGGGAAGGTGCGGCGGGGAGGGGAGCAGGGCCGTGCAGCCGTCTCCCCGGCGGTGGGTGTCGCAGGCGCTGCGCTGTGAGCGTGCGGGAATGGGGGCCGCGAGTGCGCAGCGAAGGGGCAGGTGTAGGGGTGTGTGCGTGGTGGTGGGGAGGGGGCCGGAGGCCGGGCCTCAGCTCCTGGATGGGATCCAGCAGGGATATTGGTTGGGAGCCCGGAGGCCTCCCGTCCACGTCCCTCCTGCTTCTCTTGGCCAGGGCTTGGGCTACCAAGCCCCGTGCAGAGGGGATCAGTCACCAGCCTCTCCTGGTCCCAGACCCCCCGGCCAGGCCCTGCTCTGCCCGCTCCTCGGGGGTCATAGAGCAGCCCCCGCGCAGGGCACACGCATCCGCACGCCCTTGGTGGCAGCCACGCTTGCTCGTTCGGCCCATGGCATCTGTAGCTGGCAGGGCCCAGGCCAAGCCCCTGGCATGGCGCACCGACCGGGCCGGCCGCGGGGTGCGGTGCCAGCTGGGCAGCCTCAGAGTGACCTGCCCCGGCTCCGAGGGGACAGGGGCAGGGATTAAATTGTGCCTGGGAGCAAAGGGGCTAATCAAATATTTAGCAGTTAATTGATCTCTGTCTCCTGTGTGCCAAGAGGCCGTTTGACATCTCTCCCGGCCTGACTCACTGTGCTGGCAGTGGCGGGCGGCGATGCCTGCGGTCCCCTGGAGCGCCCGCCTTGCTCCCTGCTGCTGCGAGCTGCGCCCTGCCCTAGTTTCTCTCCCCGTGCGTGGGCAGGGAGGGGAGGTGCCGGCTCTCTCCTGCCCACGGGGTAGTGACCCGCACGTCACCCGTGGCCAAGCCCAGCATTGACCCCTGCAGCACGGGGGGCTCCAGGGACCCGGGGGCAGGGCTTTGGCTGCATCTGGGGCGGTTGCTGCCCCGCTCCATGGGGCTGCGGGCGGCCGTGGCGCGGCTCTGAGCCCTCCATGGGCCGTGGCAACTGCCTCCCCTTGTCTCCCCGCAGGGCAATCAGGACGCCACGGCTCCTCCTGAAGCGATGGCTCAGCCCTACCCCCCGGCCCAGTATCCCCCACCTCCCCAGAACGGCATCCCTGCAGAGTACGCGCCCCCACACCCCCACCCCACGCAGGAGTACTCGGGGCAGAGCACGGTACCAGAGCACGCCATGACCCTCTACACGCCAGCACAGAGCCACGCCGAGCCGCCGGGCACCGACGCCAGCACGCAGTCCATAGCGGGCACACAGACGGTGCCGGTAAGAGCCCCACGGGGCGCCGGGGGAGGGGCACGGACACCCCGTGGCATCCACAGCTGGGGTGGCGGAGGCGTGGGAGGGGGAACCTGCTGCCTGGGAAGAGGAGGGGCTGCATGGGGGCTGGGGGCATCCAGCGCGGGGGCTCCAGCCGACGGCACCGGACCCCTTGGCTGGCAGGGAAGCGCCGTGGCCACGCGTGTGGCGCTGGTGCCCCCGTGGCTCCTGTGCTCGGCAGCTGCGGCACACGGGGCTCTGCTCTGCTCCCCTATCATCTCAAATCACTTGTAATCTACCTGCTTGGCTGCTTCCCAATCAGATGGCTCCGGCTGTGTGGTTGTAATGCAGCTCCGCCGGGAAAGTGCTGAGCAGAGCACTTCCAGCCCGGCGGGGGGAGAGGGGAGCGCAGCCAGACCCTCTCCTGGGCTCACGCACGCAATTGCACGCACAGGCACATGTACATGCATGTGCATGTACACATGTGGAATTGCACATGCATGATATGCAGGGAATGGCATGCACATTCATTCACATGCATGGATGTACACAATTGCACACAATAGTGCGTGCACACATGAAATGGCATGTGTGCACACATGTACATATGCATGCATGGATTGCACACGCGCATCTGTGAGCGTATCTACATATACACACACCGAATTGTGCACACATACATACACACACACAATTGCACATGCACATATACATGCACAGAATTGCATGCACACACACATATACATATACACACTTGAGATTGCACATGCACACCTGTGAACATATGTACATATGCACACGTGTGCATGGATTTGGACACCTCTGTTCATGCATGCACAAGGGTGCATGGACACACAACTGTGCACCCATGCGTGCATACATGTACATATATGTGCATGGATTGCACATGCACACCTGTGAACATATCTACGTATACACACACAGAATTGTGAACATGCACATGCACGCACACACACAGTTGCAGATGCACACATGCACATATACATGCATGTAATTGCATGCACATGTACATAAACACACATAAGATTGTGTGCACACACCTGCAAACATCTTTACATATACACACACAGAATTGTGTGCGCACACATGCACACAGAGGATTGCACACACATACAGACACGCATGCATGGATATGGACACCTGCACGCATGAATGCACATGGGTGTACGCACACACAACTGTGTGCCCATGTGTGCACACAGGCACAGGCTCCATGCGTGCCCTCAGCTCCGTTGGGTGAGACTGCTGGAAGCAAGCCGGCAGAGGAGTGCGGGGGTCTCTGCCCACCTCACTGCCCATCCGCTGTCCCCCTGGGTCCTGCCAGGGGCTGCAGACTGTGGCGGGGGCAACCC